AACAATACATCAATTATTATACCTTAAACATCCCACTTTTAAAACAGTTCTGGTGCAGCATCTTCCTTTTCTGGTACCTGCTCTCCCTCTATCTCTCCTCACTGCTCCTCTTGCTGCTCGGCCCAAAGAGGAGCTCGGTTTGACTCTGCCTTTTCCTCCCTATCACGTTTCCCCTTTAGTGAAGAATATCAACACAATTAAAAGCTAAAAGGATAAAAATGAAAGCAATATGCATTTCAACATGTTTCAATGTGTTTTAATAGCTATTTCAACAAGTTAAAATGAAATGAAGCTAAACTAGTTTCCCTGGTTCCAGAGCAGCCCAGAGTAAAAGAATAAAATTGTAATTTAGCTACTAATAAGTATAAATATAAAAAAAAAATGCATAAATATACAAATTAAATCATGTATGTAAGATAATTATAGGAGTCTACAACTTTAAAGCAGTTGTAGATTTTGAGGCTTTTAAAGAACCATGATGACTCTTGAAATAAGGGCAAGTTACCACGGAAAATTATTATTATTTTGAAAATTAACAGATTTTTTTTTTCCCCCCAAAACCAAATAAAAAATATATATATATATATATATATATATATATATATATATATATATATTTTTATTTTTTATTTTTTATTTTTTATATATATACTTGTTTGTCCTACTTGTTAGCCTTTAGGTGTTTGTGCCCATTATGTTACATTGTTCCAGAAGTCTTGTGCAACTTTGTAAGTTTCTGTGGTCCTGCCACATTCTTTTAAGAACAAAAACATTTGCAACCCCTAAATATTCTAAATGAGCCATACTTGCACAATGTTTTTCTGATTGACCTTTATTGAACTTTAAAATATGACGTGCTAACCAAGGTTGTAGGTTCTGACCTTTCAGAGAATTTAGCAGAGTTCCTGCCTGGGAAGATTGCCATCTCATTATACATCTTTTAAACTTTTGTATGATAAACATCAAATAGCTTGGGACCTTTTTTTTTAAAGGTTATTAATGTTTTCTTCCTATCTTAGCATTGAGTTAACTCCAAACTCTTTACTGCAGAAAAGCAAATGGAGGAAATCATTGCTTTTTATGCACCAATAGTTATCGACAAATCAAACGCATTCCAGTTATTGAGGTGAACTTAGGTTTTTGGGTTTTCTATGTTTGTCTTAACGGTGATGCAGATATTACACAATATTTGGTTCCTAAGAAATGCAATAGCTGGTTAAAATGCAAAATGGCTGATGAAGTTTGAAGATCAACAGGTTAAGGTTGGATGTTCGTACTTGTTGAGTCACCAGGAAAACATGTTCTGTTACTGTAAGAAGAAAGGTTTGTAGGTTTGTAATCTGTCTAGGTTTAATTGGGTTGTTTGATAAGAAGTCATTATAGGTCATTTAACATCTTAGATATTAAATATTAAACATTAAACACTAATAAAGATTATCCAGACACTTGGAAAAAAAAATCTTCAGCCCATTTTCACTACTCAAATAAGAAGTAATGCATGTATATAGCTAACTGTAGCTATTATATTCATTTAATGTAGCTTACAGACAGAAAATTATCATCCTTTTTATTAGCTCCAAAAACAAAAGCAGCAAAATCCAACTTTTATCGTCTCACATCTACCATATTTGAAATGACTGGAAACAGAACCAGTATTTTCTCAAATATTCAAACAATAGTAGTATGTAAACAACAGTTTCTTTAGCCTGTAATTGTCACTACAGATTAATTAATCCCTTATAAGTCTTCATTTTAAGCAGTAAAAGTAAATTGGATCCCCCTATGGCTTTGAATATGTAAAGCTATCCCATATTGATAATGCTGAAGGCTCAGCCCCAGGCACACTCACCCTGAGCGCACTACATGAAGACGTCTCTTCTTAGAAATATCATTTATTTGTTACCTGGATCATGGCATCTTCCCTCTAACCCTACGCATGCCTTTGAATTTGCCAAACATACATTAGAATGTTATACACATCTTCCTTCTCCTGATCCGTATCTGCAGAGAACCATTCTCTCGCTCTTTTTTCCCTCTCTCTCATCTGCAGGCCACTCCAGCAAATGTTACCTTTTCATATCAGGAATGGGAAAATAAGCTTTCTTTCTTTTTTTTTTTCATCCTCCCCCTGCAGCACAAGTGGATCTGCAGGCATGATAACCTTCGCTGCTGAACTGCAAATGTCACTTTGGCGAGCCGACCAATCGCAGCTCTTTTTCCTAGTCTGTGTGGCTCTCTTATGGGGTTCGCACCCGTGACACCGAGACTGAGAGGATGTGCTCATATGAATGAGAATGAATTGCAGAGGCTCTCAGGTGTGGCCCATAGAGGCAAACAGAAGTATCATAGAATAGCAGGCAAACCAAGAATAACTGTTGCAGCATTGGACTGAATTTACTTTTTGAAAGCTAATTAGAATATCAAGCTAAGGTAAATATTACATCCAAAAGCCAATTATGGGAAAAGAAACACTTTGTCTTATTAGATTACAGAAAAGATACCAGGAAAGACACAGGAAAGAGCAGTGTCTACTTAGAAAGGACTGGAAAAAAAAAAGTCTACCACCTTAAGTACACTCTACCTTAAAAAAATCACATTGCATTTATTGCTACAGTAGTTGTAATGTTAATACGATGTAATATTAGTAATAACTCAACACAAATGAGTTGGTTTGACAGGTTTTTACCAGAATTTCTGATTGCATTTAGCTTGATCTTAGTGTTAATAGCTGTAAATACCTATATAAACTGAATACCTATTTAAAACGTATTTTGTTACAGTCAGTTTTCTTTCCTGCTTATGTTATCGTAATAGTAATAAAAATAAAATAATTTATTGATCTCACATTGGAGAAATTTACCTTTGCATTTAACCCATCCCCTTGAGGAGCAGTGGGCTGCCATTGCGCGCCTGGACCAATCGGGGGTTAAGGGTCTTGCTCAGGAACCCAGGGTGGAGGCAGTGAGGATCAAACAGGGTACTTGATCTAACCCACTAGGAAATGTTATTGAGGCAATTTGTGCCACTGCCCACATGATGATGTAACAATTTTAAAAAGCTAATTTTCAGCACATTTTCAGTGTTGTAAAACCAAAACTAGATAAAGGTCTATGACATATTACTTTTATCCATTTTTCTTCTTCTTCAGGTAGGTTTGGTGCTGATATAAAGTCATGTCTGGTAGTTGTATATGACTGGGAGTTGCTACTATATGGCTGGGTCAGTTGTCTTTATGCCAATCAACCTGCAGGCTGTTGACTTGACATTTATACATTCTACCTATTATGGTTGTTTTGGAAATAATCTTTCCAACAATGTTTTTTACCCTAAAGGTATCAGAGATAGTCCTTGACACAGCTGGCTGATGGTAACAGGTGGGGGGTGTCGGGATGAAGGACATCTTTGCAGTTTAAAGCTGTACCCATTCACCCTCCAGCACCATTGTTGCTGCCTTGATTGCTTTCTAACATTAACCCACCTTCAAACATAACTTGGCAGGCTGCTGGCTATTCTGCTGGTCTTATGCAACAGCCATTACAAAGCTGAAGTATGTGGCCAAAGCCTTCAGCAAATTCGAGGCAATCAAGCATTTTGCTCCATATAGACCCTTTGCCTCACATCTTGCGTGAGTGCAGTCTGGTCGCTGCTCATCAGCTCATATCGTACCCCACACACAGAACTAAAAAAGCAAATCAGGACAGGGTGGGAATTTGCATGCTAGGTAATTCTTTCTTCACCCAAAGATCAGAAAATTGAGTCCAGCTTTGATTATGAATTATAATACAACACCGCTGTAATCGGGGTTTGCTCTTGCCCTCAAGCTTCGTCTGTTTGCTGGAATATTCTAAGCACTGAGAGCATATTTAGAGCAGAAAAATGTCATTGACTGTAACCCCTGTAAAGAGTTTACACTTGCCTTATTTTAGTTGCTGGTGATGAAAAGGCTTGTTTTGTGCCACACTGAATTCATTCTGTTTGTTAAATGGAGTGCGGCAGCTCATCACTTTTGCTCCGTCCCACAGATTCACTCCACAGTCAGCAGAGTTTCAGGAATTTGTATTTCCTCAGCATATCTAAAGAAAAGATGTCTTACATTCCTAAAAGCTGTGACTAACAAAGAGTAGATGTGTATCAACCTCTAAAGTTGTTAAACCCCCTGGAAGAAATTGATTCAAAATACTTATCTTCTTACACTGTAATAATCTAACTTTTCAGGTTGTTTATTTTTTGGATTGAACCATCTGTGTTTAAAGGTAGTAGTTTTAAAGAAATTGATCAAATACTTGTTTGAACTACAAATAACCCCAAAGAATAGGTTCGTTGTTTTAATTTAGTTGATTAAGGCATCTTAAAAACACGTCATTGTTCATTACTTTCCTTATCCTTATGGTAAAACACTTTGGCCTGGTAAACAACTTGCTGTTTATGTTGGAGAAATTTACGTTAATCTTTATTGCTCTTTAAATGGATGCAAGAAAAGAGCTACCTGCCTGAACCTGCACAGTCTGAGAATGATATAGTTCAAAACAACTGGAACTGTGAAAGAAGATCCTGGATCAGACTTTATCTTCGGACCATACCTAAAGAGGAAGATTTCATAAAAATTCCCGGATTTGATTTATTCCAAACATAAACATGCATAATATGCAAACCCTCAAAGGTCACTAAGATGCTTTGTTTAGATTAAGCTTTCCGACAATAATCGTTCCTTAAAAGTTCCCGAGGACCTGTTTGTGTTCAGTAACTCGTGCATGAAGATCAGAACCACTAAAGTCTCTTCATCTTTAAATGTGAAACCAAATGTGTACATGACCGCTGCAACAATGCTGGTAAATTCCAGCCAGACTAGTTGAACATGTTGTTAAATATTCTCCTGACGTGATCACGTTTGTAAAACAGTCGAGAAAGATTTCATCTTCTCCCCGTGGTCTAGATTATCTGATGGAGATGTTTTTATACACTCACTTATGATGGTGTTTTATTTTCTTTTTCCTTTATAGTTCCTTTGTCTGAAGAACATCCGGACGTTTCTAAAAGTGTGCCACGACAAGTTCGGTTTGAGGAACAGCGAACTCTTCGACCCGTTTGACCTTTTTGATGTCCGAGACTTCGGAAAGGTGAGTTTAAAAAAAAAAAAAAAACGGTTTTAGGCTGATAATGATCGGGATGGTTATGTCACCCCACACCATCTCTTTGTTGTGCTTGGTATTTTCCAGAAGGCTGTGTCTTATTTAACATGTGACAGATTTACGGTTTGATCTTGTTGGACAAGACGGACCTGCTGCTTGTAGCTTTATATGGGCTTTATGACATACAGATTTGCAGCTGCTGTATTGATCTGATGATGTCATGGAGGCTTTGGTGGTATATTAGAGCTGATCTTAAGTAGTGGTTCTGTTTGTGAATGAAAAGCATATTTGAATTCACCTAAAGGGCTGCTAAGCTTCTCCTTTGTGCTTTGGATGAGTTTAAAAGTAGTTCAGACCTGAATCCATCTGTTACATTAACACCTGAGGTGGCTGCTGAGAGCTTGGATGAGCATTTAATGTAACACCTTAGGGTCGGCGATCTCTTCTCATGTCACTGAATGACTGGAGCTACAAACTTTACCAAATAAAGAGAAAAACTTATATATGTTTAGCATGTTTATGTTTTTTTTTGTTTTGTTTTTGTTTTTTAGACCTGTAAAAAAAAGACCATACCAAACTTTTTCAATCCCCGATGTGATATAATCCTGTAAATTTCAACTAAAAAGTTGACGCATTTCTTAGACAAAATAAAAAAAGAGTGCATAAAGATTATACTCTTTTAAAGCATTCCTTTAAAAACAAAAAATTGCTTCAGTTTGCATCTCCCATCAGTTACAGATCAATTTGAATTAAAGTTTGTCTTTGCTGGTTTGATGTTTTTTTTTATGTATCTCTTAAAATATTCCTTTATTATTCGGATCTGATCTTACAAAGGTATCCGCAGAAAAATTGAAAAAGATTGATGCAGATTATGTTACGATAAAGGCTATTCATCAACCTGGCTCATTTAATTTAAAGTTATTTTCATGGAGCCTTGAAGATATTTTTTTGTTATTGACAATGAGAAGCAAAGTTGCTTCAAATAGCAGAAAGGAAAAAAAATAAATGTCAGGCTGAAACATAACTGTTACCCTGGCAAAAAATCGATAGAAATAAAGCACCTTGCACTCTTTGACTGTTGTTTAAGCATTTTTTCTGGTGATCAACTTCAGCTGATGCCTCGTATAAAAATATCACTGAAATTTCCAAGAACAACATCTCAATCACAGTTAAACATGGTGGTACAATCATCTGAACAGATCAGTTAATTTTTAGCCCAAAGCCTTCAGTTATCAGCTAAACATTTCTGAAGGTGAATAAGGATTTAATTTATCTAAATCTATTTGGGACCAATAGTACATCCACATTGACAATAAAAAGCCTCACCAGATGCGAAATTCTGTTTTAAAATGATTGGTTATTAGAAAAAATAAATAAATACTGAATGCATAAAATCAGCTTCAGTAAAATATTAGTTTAAAGGTGTTGGCACTGGGGCAACCAGGTCATCATTTATTTACTTCCTTCGTGTTGTTTTCTCCCAATTTTCCCTTCAGCAGATGTGTTTATTCCTAATTTAAACTGTACAGGATGTAAACACATTTCAGATAGAAATGGCTTTGTTTGCTCTTTGCTTTGCCAGCTGCATTAATGTAATCACATTACAGATCAATTGCTGAAGATTATCTGGTGCTTTGTTTCCATCGACCTGCAAGGTGCTTGAAAATGTTCACATTTACCTTTCAGGAGCAAAAAAATGAAGCCAAGCCTCCCTAAAACGAATCCAGTCTGACTACATATTGTGTTGAATACACTGGTTAAAATATTGCCTTGAAAGGATATTTAAACAATCAATGTGAACGTTTTTACAGAAATTCAGAATATTCCAGGAACACTTTCAAATCTAGATTCAGATGAATGTCTAAAACAGTGTTGTGGTGTCTCTGGAAAGGCTCTCTGCCTGCAGTAAAGCAAACCCACCAACTCTTAATTAGCTGCTGCAGCTTGTGTTTCATGTTGTGACGTATCCCTGCACTGCAAGCTGCAAATGGCTTTCAAGGCTCCTTCCAAGATGCTCGCAGTGACATTTTGTTTTACCTTTAAACTCATCAGTGTGCTTATTATCAACTCTTTATGCAGTTGTTTTATGGGAAAATAAAGTGAAGTTGTGTGTTTATTCAAATGCATAATGTTTTATACTGTTCTGTCAAGATGAGAGCATAAATGTACAGTATGTATTCATGAATAAGTGAATGCATGAATTAATAAGGGTTTGAATGCATGTATTGATTAGTGGAAAGGTAAAATAAGTGTATTTATGCAGCACAATTTGATAGTAAGATAATTTATAGTGCTGTACATTAAGAATAGAATAAGAAACATACATTGCAGGGGCATAGATAATAAAAAGAGAATGCAATTAGACAAAAAATAAACATATATAAAACAAAATTATAAAAAAATGAAAGTTGGAGTGAAGATAGATTTTTAATTTGTATGTAAAGTAACTCAGGATTTTCGTGCTTTTGCAGTTTTCTGGACTTTTGTTCTAGACTAGTGGAACACAAGAAATAAAAGTTGTTTCTTAATGTTTGGATCTGGTTCTGTGCAGAATAGATTTGAGCCAGAGGAGCTTGGAGCTCTGGGTGGTTGATCAACTGATTAAAAGTCTGTAAAATGTGTTAAAATGTGCTATTCAGTGATTTATAGACTTATAGGAGGATTTTTAAGTCTATTCTCTGGGATATAGGGAGCCAGTGGCAGGAATTCAGAACTGGGCTGATGTGCTTTGCTTTATTAGTTTGCACTTTCATTGAGTGAGTGAAAGCGTAGATTGTTTAATGGGTAAATGGGATGATGATGAATGGATAGAAATGGGAATGGAAGAGATTGGGATGGATGGATGGATGGATGGATGGATGGATGGATGGATGGATGGATGGATGGATGGATGGATGGATAGAAGGTGAAACAGTTTATTGTTTTTTTTTTGCCATTGCTCATGAGGGATATACTGGCTTACTGAGGCTTTGTCCTCAAATTGACATACGTTTCTCTTCATGTCTTTTATCCTGAAAAGGTTAAGAAAGCTAAATAAACACCATGTGGGGTCAAACACTTAAAAAGAGCTTGCGCTACCTTTTCTGTTACACAGCTGCAAAAAGGAGCAGGGAACAAAGGAAGCAACTGGTCTCTAATCCAGGATAAGCATTTCCTGTTGGCTTCAGCTTAAGGCAGAGCGTCTCACTCCTCTCTCTGATCCTGTTGTTAAACTGTGTGTAGCTCCACACAGAAGGCTGGGTTACAAGGTGAGAACCTCTCTCTGAGTTTGTATTCTGCCAGTAATGGCACCCTGTCATTAAATTCATGATGACAGCTGATGCATCTGGGAACGTTAATAATGCACCGCTTCATCTGATGGAGCATGTGTTTCTATTAAAACAAGGGGGCTGAAGTATGAATAAACTGTTAGCTTGTGTTATTTGTGGAAAGTCTTCTGCTCATTTGTCAAACATATCTGTTGTAATCCAAAGTTATCAACTCCCCGGAGCATGCACAGAGACAAATAAGCAGCAGAAAAAAAGGATGAGAGAGAAGAAAAAGGAGACGAGGACTCACTTGGCAGTTTGTAGATAAACCACAACGTCTGACAGTCAATGAGCTTGCAGTGAATGGTATTAAAATCCAACAGCAGTCAGAATCAATCACACAGACCCTCCATATGTCAATTTAGAAATTGCTTTAGTATGGTCTCAGCAGTGGCGGGCTTGTCTAACCATTGATTTTCCATTAAGGCCCAACATCACATTATAATATATTGAACAGAGTAGATCCCTGTGATGCAGCATACATTTAGATGGTAAGAATTTCTCATAAAGCCACGACTAAAGGTAAGTCTTCCTCCGGCGTTGCCTCAGCATGTCTTTTCTCTGTCAATACACAAATAACCAGGAAATGGAGATTTCTCATTATTTAGAGCGAAACACGGGGCCCTCAATCAGAGATTTATTCTTTGAACAAAGCAAGTCAGAAAACAGGAACAATTTTACTCAAGTGTCAAAAGGAATTTAATCATAACATCCCCTTTGAGAATCCTGACTTTTTAGCTTCGCTATCGATTCAGCTTTTATCAGATTGTCATTGACGACAGTAATAGTTAATGCAATCACTAGATCCTTCCCACCAAAGAGAACCGTAGAGAGTTTGTCACTTGAGTGTTTCTAAAAGTCTTCTTATGTTCTTGTGAATAGAGCAGATGTGTGAATTACGCCTCATGTTAACCTTGAGTAACAGAGGTATGGTTTTTTTTGTTTTTTGCAGCTAAATTTCATGATATATTGTGTCAAACACCATTTATAAATGATTTTTACTGGTGTTGGTTTAAATATGAACATTACCACAGTATCAGTGGTCATAATGTTCCTAGCTAAATGGTGTTTAAGCACATGCTGACATCAGATTCATCTCCCAAACCCCTTCCCATAGCCATTATACCCAAGCAATATGTTTTCACTCTGTCTGTTCACCAGAAGCTCTGGGCTACATTTACAAGTTTTCAGTCAGTGTCCTAACTGGTCATAACTAGGGTAACCCAAACTAGTAGGTAGTTCTGTTTAGTGGTTACAGGGTTGTTAAGTGATTGGTGTTTTGGGATTGGAACGTGAGATTAGTGTCGTTTGAGTAAAAGAACCAAGGCATCCCTTTATAACAGNATCAGTGGTCATAATGTTCCTAGCTAAATGGTGTTTAAGCACATGCTGACATCAGATTCATCTCCCAAACCCCTTCCCATAGCCATTATACCCAAGCAATATGTTTTCACTCTGTCTGTTCACCAGAAGCTCTGGGCTACATTTACAAGTTTTCAGTCAGTGTCCTAACTGGTCATAACTAGGGTAACCCAAACTAGTAGGTAGTTCTGTTTAGTGGTTACAGGGTTGTTAAGTGATTGGTGTTTTGGGATTGGAACGTGAGATTAGTGTCGTTTGAGTAAAAGAACCAAGGCATCCCTTTATAACAGCGGCCCCCAACCTTTTTTGCGCCACGGA